ATTTATTTATGTTTATTTTTAATATTTGCCCATTTGTACCTGTAATATTCTGATTTTTGGGAATGTTTTGTAGTTGTTCCTTTAAAAACAAAAAAATTTGAGTATAATACAATTAATGATCGCTTAATGACTTTACTTTTAAGGTTTTTATCAATATCTGTAACTTGACAGAATTGGGAAATTTATAAAATTCTGAATCCTTGTTGGAGCTTGAGGACCGATATGGGAAAAACTATCGTGGAGCCGTTACCATGTATGACAATTGTCTAATGATATAAACAAAACCCCAAAAAACCTTTGAATGTTCTATTGAAAAAGGTTTTCAACACATGAAATATGAACGTGAATTATAATTAAATACATAGATTGACACTTACAGGGTTATTCAATGAAGTGAGAATTCAAAGTGAATTTCAAATTCAAGGTTAAAATAGCAAATTTGGAAACATTCTCTAAGGCAGTTATGTTTCTAGTTCATCGTCTTTGGCCTCAAGTTTGAAATTCACTTTTAATTGTTACATTAGTGAATAGCCTTGATTATGTGACATCCATTTGTAATGCATTATATACAATATATAATAGACTTAAAGATTCCCACCTTGATAGTTTCTGTTACCCCTGCACTTCCACAGGCAAAAATAATAGAATCCTACCTGGACCAGTAAGAATGTCCAACAATCAGATGCCTCTTATTTTGGTCTATGAAAACAGATCCTATCCCATAAAGCTCAAACCAACAGGGTTTAAAGTGTTATGCAGTGCAGCCCACATCATTAGTATCACTCATAAGATTGAATCAGGTATCAGCCAAGCAGGGGTGTGGTTATCCTTTTGTGCTGGAGAGGAGCTGTATTGATGTGCACACAATGTACAAATATTTGTTTGTTTTTTTATAGTCAACATAGGAAGCTAAGACGTACTTAGGTTACATAGCACATGGGGTGAGATTTTATTGAGCCCCCACACCCTGAACTGTAAAAATATACTAACATTCATATACATATTCACACACATACAAACACACACACACACACACACACACACATAAACACACACCATATTCACATGTACTTACATTCATGTACACTTATACATTCATTTACACACACATGGACACATATACAGTATCTCACAAAAGTGAGCACACACCTCATGTTTTTGTAAATATTTCATTATATTTTTTCATGTGACAACACTGAAGAAATGGTACTCTGCCACAATGTAAAGCAGTATGTGCACTCACTTTTGTTGCTAACGGTTTAGACATTAATGGCTATGTGTTGAGTTATTTTGAGGGGACAAATTTACACTGTTATACAGGCTGTACACTACTTTACATTGTAGAAGAGTGTCATTTCTTCAGTGTTGTCACATGAAAAGATATAATAAACTATTTACAAAAATGTGAGCGGTGTACCTCACTTTTGTGAGATACTGTACAAACATACATGTTGATACTCAAACACACAGACTTATACTTATATCATACTTATACACACACAAAGAGAATCCCACACAGACTTATACATACACGCAGTCATATACACACACACACACATTTATGTACACACACACTGACTCAAACACACACATATTTATGCACACATTATTTATTTGTTTATTAACAGTGAGGTCCACCCATCCTCACCCCTGGTGTCCAGTGAGGAGCTGCAAGGATCTGTTGTTGTACTGATTGTCTATCTCCCTGCAGCCCTGTAATGATGACTTGGATGGGGTGACATAATATCCTGACTTTAGCAGTAGTATTGGGCCCGTGAGAGTGATCCTAGCAGTTTCAGTGCAGAGTGATACTTGCAGCCCACTGACAGGTCAGTGACATAGCAGTCAACCTCCGCTAGAAATGTGCCCAGTAGGTAGGCACATGCTCTGGTGGTAGGGGGTGCTCTATGAAACCTGCTCCACATCCCATTAGTACACCTCCAGGAGGAAGTAGGAAGTACAGAAATACTTTCATCTTGCAATGAATTGTACCCTTATACCTGTCAATATTATATACATAATATATATACAAAAAACACAGAATATGAGAACTCAGAGAGAAGGCAAAAGCTAAGAGAAGTAGATACTAGAAAGTTGGAGTGCGCTAGCAACTGCACTGGAGTCAGGATCTTCTCTGAGTACTCTGAAGAAATATACAGTATATAGTGCAGACTATCTGTATATATAGGGTATGCAAAATTAAAAGTATATCTTGGGATCAACTCACATAGACCAGAGCCCTATCATCCCTGGCTCTGGGTTTGAATTGCTCCAATGGAGAGGGATAAACCCACAGTATAGCAAAACGGGATACTATTCTGAATCAGATGTAATATCTAGGCAGTATAAACAAACAGAGAGGCCGGAGCCCAAATTGAATAGCATCAAACACAGTATTTATTTAAACAAAAGGTTAAAAACTCTTACTTGAAGTAGTGGGTTTGCCAGCAATAAACCCACAACTAGATAAGCAGGAATTTACACACAGAAAATGATACAGCTTAGACACTTCCTGGTTCTGGTCATGTGACCGCCGGGACCGCCTCTCTCTGATGTCACACATGACGCGTTTCGCCCGAATCCTGGGCTTCTTCTTCTGAAAAGCTGAGAGAAGCTCAGTAGCTTGCCCTTCGGTTAGTCCAGACTCAGGTCTCAATATGTTTTTGCTTACTTGTGCCATAACAAAGAGGTCCTATACCATTTGCATCTCAAACTAATCCCACCCATCAAGGCAGTCCAGAATCAAAATACCGTCAAGTTGCCTCGGCAATTGAGATATAGCAACAATCATTTTGACCTTCTTTTGGTGTCTCTGATAACCCTCTAGGCACAATGGATACAGGGTCCACATCTGGAGAATGAGATCCACATCAGTGGTGAAATATGAAAAATAATAAAGCAATCCTTCAGAACAAAGCAGCGTTAACATAAAGACAGATTTTTTTTATATCCAACAAAGATATCAGAAGACCACTTATTCATCTAATAATTATACCTCCAAATATATCAGAATAGGTCAACAATGTTAAAAATGAAAACACCAAATACAAATTAACAAAACAGTGAAACCAAAAACTTTCATATGGATTTATCTGCACCGAACAAAAAACCTGTTACAAAATATCAAATATGTAAGATAAATACAGAGTAAAATACTGCAAATTCAAATGCAAATGTATCCTGAATTGTATTAAAAGTCAGTTTGCAAGAACCAACGTAAACGTTGTTTAGTAGTTTAGAAATTATTATACATACCTAATATATTGTGCAAATAGGAATGCAGAAACAGCTGCCACTCACAAATGCAAATTTTTTGAAAATCCCCTTTAAATCGCAGCGGTTGCATGTTGTTGTTTTGTTGCCATGTGCTCTGCGTGTTGTCATGTCTACTCATCTCACAGTTGACTGGTTCATCGGGATATCCTAAAGAAGCAGCCATCTGCAAACAGTATAGATAGCCGGATATAACATCACAAGAGAGCAATAAAAGCCACAATCTGCAGGAAACATTTTTAAAGGTGCACTTTTTGTTTATACAGCTGTGTCTGCATTCCTTCTCACACAGTGTAAGCATGTACAATCATTTATTAGTTACTAAGAGCAAATTTGAACTAACCTAGAATGATCATACGTTTTTTAAGATGAATTTGTGAATCAAAGTGAATTTCAAATTAAGGTAAAAATAGCCAAACTGGAAACATGCTGTACAGTGAGGGAATAAAGTATTTCATCCCCTGCTGATTCTGAATGTTTTCCCACTGACAAAGAAATGATCAGTCTATAATATTAGTGGTAGGTGTATTTTAACAGTGAGAGACAGAACAACAACAAAAAAAATCCATTGATTTGCATGTCCATGTATGAAATAAGAATTTGATCCCCTATCAATCAGCAAGATTTCTGGCTCCCAGGTGTCTTTTATACAGGTATT